TATTATAGGATATTTGATTGTCTGAAAAAGAAAAAAGAACAAAACAGTAATCTTACTTAAAATTGTTGCATTTCATTAATTATTTACATCTTATTTTAAAGATAATGTAACATTAAAAATTTCATTCTGGCCAAGGACTTTATGTAAACCCTATATATAATAGTGAAGTTAATGAAACAATGCTTACCCTTACTACTCTGACACACTCTGATTTTATTTTCCTTCTTCCTCTCTCCCTCTGTTTCTCCTACCACCTTTCCTTCCCTTCTTTTATGCTGGTTCCCACCCACAAGAGTTGATTTCATAACTAACTAAAAAGATCATAATCTACAGTTTGAAAAACACTACTCAGGATTCTAAGTTCCTTGAGGGCAGTGACTATCACTGAATCATTTCGTCTTCATATCTCCAAACCCTGGCACCATTCCTTGCTTTCAGGTAGCTTCTTATTAAATGTTTTCCAAATGAATAAGCTTCAGTTAAAGAGTTCTGCAGCCACTGGGATTCCGGAAGGGACAGAAGAAGTGAATAATTTATCACAGACTTCCCAAGAGCTCCTGCTGTCCTCTACACACTAGGGCCATTGTAGACTTGTCTGGGAAGCCCTGCTCTCTGCCCCGTCTTCTCCTTCCCCCCAGGTTCCAGAAAAGAGGCCAGGAGGTTTAATGATGTGCAGAGATTTCCCAAGACAAAAAACATATTAATCAGGATCTTGGGTGGATATTTGTCAAGGCACAAATGATAAGAAAGCAAGATTCTTAGTAAGTCCTTCATTTCACTTTTTATATAAATTTAATCCTCAAACCTGATTCTTCTTCTAAAGCTACTGTTATGCTGTTTTTTCAGCCCATCTGTTAAACCCTGACCATTTCTGATTTTTTTTCAAACCCTGTAAATCTTCATTAGGCCATGCCCCATGCCAGGATTTTTCCATTTGGGGGTAGAAAAAAAAATTCCCAAGCCCACCAAAACCCTGTGGCTTGGTTTCCTGTCCAGCTGGCTTGCTGTTCCTTAGGATTTTATTCCCATCATCAAAGTGGCTTGACAGACTGAGAACAAACCTCTGGCTCACCCTAAACTCACAGTATACTGTTTCCAAGTCAGAACAGACACCAAGTAATAGCAAGAGAAAAAGGAAGAGAAAAAAATTATTTTCCTGACTTAGAAGCCAGTTCAGAGAAAGCCCAACTCTTTGACTGTAGACCAGGCTGTTATGTGGCCATAGTGGAGGATGGGGCATGAACTATGGGCTCAGTCAGGGTCAAGAGTGCTGTGTGAGTTACCCCGAGGCCATGGGTGGACTCTGTTGTGGCCCAAATCCTCCATTCCTGGAGTCTGAATGTGCAGCATTTGAGGGAGCCTTCCGTGACCTTGTTGAAGACAGACCTGGCCCAGATCTGCGCAGCCATGGAACAGTCAAGAGTGGTTCCTGAAGTGTCCCAGGCCAGCACTCTACCAGCCTGTGCCAGGCCTAAAGAAGATACAGAAAACTGTAGCCTGTCAGGGAGCTCTAAAGTTTGCCAATCTTCCCTCTGTTCATTTAGAAATGTTCAAAAAGATATTAACTTAGCTTAAAAAAAAAAAATCCTCATGGAAACCAGGCTCCTCATCAGACTTGAAAGGCAAACCAATATCCAAAAAACTTTCCTTTATGATTCTGTATGGCTCCTCAGAAAAACATCCTGGGCAAGAAGCTCTGGCTCTGGGAGGCCACATGGTAGCAGGCAGTAAATGATGATACTAAGAAGCACCCTTTCCGTATAAAGTAACCCATCTCTTGAAAGCTTGGCCTGTGTCATGCTCATTCCTGCCTTCTCAACATGTTCTCTGATCTGTGCAAGCTGGTGTGTCCAGGTCCCCGGACAGTCCAAATTCCTTCGCACAGCTGTTGCCCAATCTCAGAATGCCCTTCTTTGTCAACTTTGTCTGTCTTAATTCTCCCCATCTTACACTACTTAATTGGAATCACATTTCCATAGGCCCTCTTCATTTCTCCATATCCTGTCCCAAAGTTTATCTTTGTTTTACCCGCCATAGCTTCCCAGTATTCTCAGAGGTCAGTCACTGGTTTCCTGTGCACCTCCTGCCCACACCAGGTAAGTGCTGGCTGCACGGAGACATCCCTGCTGTGTTGGCCATTGGCTCAGCCCTGCACTGGATAGCTGGATAGTGGATAGTTCACTGATGTTCTGTGGCAGGGCCAGCCCCCTGCAGTGGGTGTTCTGGTGTTCTTCCCTGAGTGGCCTTTTTTTTTGGCAGAGGGAAGTCTCAGCAGTTACAGTGGAAGTCCCAGAAGTGGGAATGATGTCATTAGAGAAATTTTCATAGGGCTAGGGATTTAGCTCAGTGGTTCTAGCACATGCCTCGCAAGTGCAAGGTCCTGAGTTCGATCCCCAGTTCCAAAAAAAAAAAATTTCATGGACTGTGTGGGCTGTCCATGATGGTTAGAAGAGTGACATCAGGAGATTATGACTGAGAAACCTGGAGAAAACTAGATCGAGACAAAAGATTGGGGCAAAATTGAAAAAGGAGCAAAATAATTGCAAATAGATAAAAATTGTGAATGTTTTTTCAAAAAGTGAAACTGTAGGGCCAACGATTTAGCTCAGTGGTTTCACCACCTGCCTCAGAAGCACAAGGTCCTGCGTTCAATCCCTGGTACCCCCCAAAAAAGTGAAACTGTAAAGTGCTAGGAAAATACGGGAGATTTTATATATGTTAGCATGCACACCGCTCTGGGTTTGATCCCCAGCACTCCCTGATAAATGTACATGAAACACATAAAGTCTTAGAGAAGAGTTGGACTTTGTAAGCATAACATGAAACCCAGATGACATAAAAATATTAATATATTTTATAAACACATATATTTTAAACATTTATAAATTATAAAGTTTTTTATAAAGTTAAAAAAACTGCAAAAACTTTTCAGCATGGGTGACTAAAGGCAGATTCCCTTTCAATACAAAGAGCCTACAAATCATTGCAGAAACCATGAATAGCAGAAGGTTTAAACACAAATCCAAAGAAGGAAATTCAGATATTTTTTAAAAGCATAAAAAGGATAGTCAACTTCACTTTTAATGTAGTTGCAATTTAAAACAATGAGTTATTGTCTTCTACTTATTCTCTTGGCAAAAGGTTAAAAAGTTTAATAGTGGACTGAGGTGACCAGATTGTAGGAAAACGGGAATTCTCTTGCTGAACATGTAATTTGGTACACAGCCATATGCCCTAAACTGTTGTACAGATATATTACCACAGCATTGTTTTCAGTAGCAAAGTATCTTAATCTGAATTCTGACCAAGGGGGACAGACTGGTCCATGAAATGGAGCTGTTTATAGCCATTAAGAAAATGAGGCACAGGGCTCAGGGTTTAGCTCAGTGGCACCGTGCCTCCCTCGCAAATGCAAAGTCCTGAGTTCAATCCCCGTACCAAAAAAAAAAAAAAGAAAGAAAATGAGGCTCATCCCTAATAGAATGGTATTCAAAACATACTAGTGGAAAATAGTGATGCTCGGAACTTACTACCTAGTAGATTGACGTTTATGTAAAGATAAACAACTGGGAGACCGGGCATTTAGCTCTGTGGCCCCACACTTGCTTGGCAAGCACAGAGTCCTGAGTTTCTGAGTTTGATCCCTGGTGGGGTGGGTTGGGAACAAGCAGATTATAAGTGAAGAGAAGATGGCTGGAAGGCTGGCTAGTAAGTAGTATATTGGTTACCTCAGGGAAACAGTCTGTGAGGAGAAGATGGGGTTCTGGAAGAAGGGACTTCATTTTTACTACAGCCCCTTTTGGACTAATTGAATTCTTTTTATAGTGTATGTGTGTGTGATCTATCTTGTAAAATTAAGTTTTAAAATAGCTAACATAGGTATGAGATAAAGCTAGACCCAAGGTACCATATAAATTAGGTTGGGTAGCTTAAGTGTCAGAGCAAGCAGATACATGAGGGGAGCCAGTCTGCAGGGTTTCAGGGCAGGTCAGTAGCAGAGACCACCATACAAGGCAGTTCCACCTCAGGTGAAGGTATCTGACGATTTCTCACGGTCAAGTAGGTGCCAGCTCCAGGATGTGGGCAGTTTGGATAAAGGAGGGAACAACCTTAAGAGAAATGATGAAATTGTTCCTTTGCAGGGCGTGAGAAGTTTGAGTCAGGAGTCCACTAGCCTCACTGAGGCCAGCTGCAGTGTCATCCCTGGTTATATATTGGAAGTAGAGGAGAAGGGGATGGCCAGGCCCTGGGTAGAGGAGAGAGTGCTTTTCAAGGTCACTGCACCACCCTGCTGTGGCCTCCTGCCCTTACCTCGCTTGCTGGACAAATTGCCCCAGCAAGAGAGTGTGGCCTCATCCGAGATCAGGATGAATGGAGGCCCATGGCCCTCCAGGCACTGTTTTCAAAAGTCCTTTTTTTCCTTTTGTATCTAGACCTCCAAATCCAAGCTACTTACCGTTTCTACCATGTTCAAAAAGTAAAACAAGCCATTTATTGGAAGAAAACAATTCCATTTATTGGGAAAAGGATCTCAGCCCCAGTGTTTGTTACTCTTTTATACAAGTCTGTTATGCAGTTGGCTAATTTAAGTCTATAGATACGATTTTTCATATGTGGGTGCAATTCTTTTCCTCCAAAGCGCCAAAACCATGGTTTTCAAAGCCAAATGATTTTTTTCCAAAAAAATGTCTGCTCGTAAGAAAGTTGTCTTTCCCACTCACAACTCACCTTGTTTTCAATAAACTAGGATGGGACCTTGGGTTTTACTTGTTTTCTGTTGACTTGGAAACAGAGCATTGGGTTTTATCTGTTTGGTCCACATGTAACCCTGGCCTGCACTAGATGCACTTGGATTCATTTTCTCACTTGAGTTGCTGAACACCCACGATGTGCCTGAGCAGCATCACCTGCCTGGTAGAAAACACTCATTTTCTCCTTCCTGTGCTCCAGGCCTCAGGGAAAGAAAACATCAATTTATATTCCGTTCTTTATCTTTCCAGGCAAAATCCATGTTTGGTGACCAGAGCTGTATATATTGATATTCTCTTCCTGTTGACTTACTGCCTCAACAAACCCACAAAGGGCAACCAGCCAGGTATGATTCATAGTTATATCCTATTTTGGATGAAGGTTGTAAGCCTTTGAGGTGTAGGTGGGGTTTTCAGCAGCTATACCACTCCCCACTCTCACCCTGGTCTCCTTTGGTTAATTCTCCAGAATTGCACATCAGAATTCAGCAGTGTCGTATGGCTCTGTCCTAGAAACTTCTCAAGGAAACTTGTCCTTGTTTACTTGGCAGTCTGCCATTAAATGTTTTCTCTTTGATCATCCAGGGAAGAGTGTGAACTCTATTCAGATACCCTCTGTGTCTCAGAGACCTTGGCTTTTTCCTAGTTTATGCATTTGCATCAGAAGGTCATCCTTTTTCGGTCACTGTTTGCTCTGTTCCGTCCTGTGGAGATAACTGAGCTGGCTCATTTAGCGCTGGAACTGGGAGATTTGCGTCTTCTTCTCAAACCCACTCCCTGCTACTGTCGGGGTTGCCTCAAGCTCAGACATCATACTTATTTCCAGGTCATGTGTGTTTCTGGGTGTGTATCCCAGATGCACATACATTTGTTCTGTTTTAATCACAATTCATGAAGTGGTGTCTTTTTTTTAAAGGGAGAAGGGTAACTAAAATAAAATTTATTTGATGTGTTTATATAAGAGGCTACAGGAAGTGCTCTACATGAGTTCCAGGCCACAGACTGAAACTGATTTTCATCAACACAAACTGGAATGCAGAGAGTAATGAGCCTGCAACTGGTTAAAATCAGCTTCTTCTAATTGAGTAGGCCTGACTCAAGGAGGCTACAATTACAGTTGAATTCTGAGTGCTAACAGGCCAGGCCTCTCTGTTACATTGAGTCCGTCAATGATTTGTTGTCTAGAGTAAATACGTTCAGGCTGTCAGGGTCTAGCTCTGTCCATGTGGAACCCTGTTCCAAATTCAAACCAATTTATAATGCTTTGCAGGGGGGTTGGGGTGGGGGTTGCACCTCATCCATATAGATTACATTGGCCCACAAAACTCCTGTGGCCAGGCAGAGGTATTACGAACACTCTGGACTTGCCTCTGCTACATCCCTCATGGGGCGACTGTGTATACATTCAGTGATATGGGATTGGAGAGTTTTATAGCTATAAAACAGGCACAGTTTGTGCCATTTGTCTTGGCATAATTATGAATAGCGTACCCTTTTATTCTTGCAAGTGTCCAGGATTGCACAATGAATTATAAGCCACACTAGCTATAAGGAACCTCAGTATTGCATCCGCTTTAGTTTACACTTGAATCAACTGAGGTCCAGGAATTTTATAAAGAGATTATAAATCAGATGTTATCAAGTAAATTGTTTTAGATTTCTACCATCTGTGTATTTCAGTTCCAAATTCCACACAGCTTTATAATACAGTACCTACCTGCTTATGTATTTAAAGGGATCCATCCACTGGGATCTTAACTGACTCATGTGGTTAACTGTAATCATTAGTTTATTTGAACTGTTTTTCTTGGCTCGTTTAGTATCATTATTCCTTGTCTGAAAGTATTAACCCTTGAATGTAAAATTTTTCTCTTCCCCAACTTCTGTCCTTTATTGATAAACTGGGCTCCGTGAAGATGACTTTGGCTTTTTTGAATCATTCTTTCCTCAAAACTCTTAACATTACTTAGAGTTTGTACTCCAGCTAAATGTGATCACAGCTGTCTTTTGTTATTTAAAGGCGTGTGCCATTCCTCAGGATGTCCTTTCTTTGCAGAGTAAGGTGTGGTGGGAAGGGGCACTTTTATTCTAGTATGATGGCTGTAGCTGTGCATATATTGTTCTGCACTGTCTGATAAGGCAGTTCCTAATCACATGTGGCATTTGAGCACTTGAGAAGTGACTGGTACAAATTGAGATATAAAATACACAACATTTCAAAAACTTCGTATGAAAAAAATGTAAAATTCCTCCAATAAATTTTATATTGAATACATTTGGAAAGGTAATATGTTTGACATCAGATTAAAATGTAAAATGTATATTTAAAATTAGTTTCACCTGTTTCTTTTACTTTTTAAAATGTAACTACTTAGATTGGAAAATTATAAAACAGAAAAATCAAACCATCATCTAAATATGTGAATTTAACAAGTGGAAAGATGTGAAAAGTTATTAGTGACTAATTGCAGAACACAAAGTGGTACATAAACGTAACATTATCAGTAAAGGAAAGAATATGTCTATTAGAAAATTTCAAATGACATTTATGAGTTATATTTTACTCCCATTAGCACTAGTTTTGTCCAGACCTTTGTGATTAGCCTCATAAACCACAGAATACATACTGGGTGTATATCTGTATCTCACCTACATGAATGTATGTGTTTGTGTAACACATCCATGCAAGCAGTAATAGCAAATTTTTCTCCTAAAGATGGACTGGATTTTTAGAATTAACCAAATGTCAAATAAAATGGTGATTAAGATGGATAGCATTCTTTGATATAAAAATAAACTGTGACATTAAAGTAGTGAAAACTGTTCTTGTGTGTTCCATAAATTGTTTCCAAAGGCAGTTTGAGCAGCAGATAAGTATATCACCAAATAAGGAGATAATTTATTTGGTTGTGTAGATTTCCATGTGTTTTCAAAATAATGTATGATATTATAATTTTGCCTTGAAAGAATGGACCATGTCTTAGATTCGTTGTCAGCTAAGCACATAGCAGACCCTCATTAAAATGATTTGTTATTAACTGATTGAAAGGTAGTTTTCCTCAGTTTTTGTTTTGTTTTGTTGGTTGTTGTTTGGTTTTTGCTTGATTTTTGTTTTTGAAACACTATGCAGTTCAGGCTGACCTTGAACTCACTATATAGCCCAGGCTGACCTCAAACTCAAAGCAATCCTCCTGCCTTAGCCTCCCAAGTGCTGGGATCACAGCTGTGCACCACCACATCTGGTCTCAGTTTTTAAAACAGTATGATTGGTATTCAATTCCAAGTCTTAGGTAGGCAGAGTGGCTCATGCCTGTCATCTCAGCACCCTGGGAGGCTGAGTCAGGAGTATAGCAAGTTTGAGCCCAGCCTGGGCAACTTAGCACCTTAGCGAAACCCTATCTCATAATTTAAAATGAAATTAAAATTAAAAATTAAAAAAAGCCTAAGGATATAGCTGAATGCAAAGAGCCTGGGTTCAATCCCCAGGACCACAGAAAACTAAAAATAAGAGATCCAAATCTTATTCAAACTCATGTATCAATCAGATGTGAATTTAGTTTCTGAATTCAAATGAGATATTCATATTGTTTATATAAATATATATATACACACACACACACACATACATACATCTGTTATGATCTCACAAACCTCAGGATGGGAAGCATACCACATAGACTCCATAGGCAGAATCCTAGATAGCTCATTTATTTTGTAACGTTAGGTAAGTTATTTAACCTCTTTGAAACACTTTCTTATTTGTAAATGGGACTAATAATCAAATCTATATCTTACAGTGGTTGTCAACTTATACATATAAAGCCTTACGTAAAGAATATGCTTTTAGTGACAGAGAGTGCTCAATAAATGTTAGCTACTGTCATTAGTTGAAAACCAGGCTCTAATCCAGTCTCCTGAACCTTGGCAGAATTGCCTTCAAGCTTTGCATTCATAATTCTCATATTTTTAAAAGTCTTCTGGAATGAAGAAATGCTTGCATTGCATGCCTGGCATAGATTGTTAAGAATCCACCTGAGTAAGGATACTGCAGCCCCTCTGACTAATTCAGAAAAAGATCTTTTTTTTTTTCTTTTGTTCATTTAGTTTTTCATTCATCCATGAGACATACTAGTATCAGATATAGTTGAGGACCCATATCTGGGTCGGAGATGGAGATGAATATGTCTTGGGCTTTAAGTAAGTACAGTAAGGGGATGCAGTTGCTATTCAGGAAGTATATGTTTGAAGCACTGAAGAAAAAGGTCATTTCTACTTGAGAAGACAGGGCTTTATAGAGGAGGAGTTGGTGAGGCAGATTTTGGTGATGAGCAAGGATTCACCAGATGGGCAGGAGGAGAGACGGGTATTACCAACAGAGGGGTAGGCGTGGCCAAAAGCATGGAGACACAGATAAGCACAGCCTTCAAAGAACCAGGACAGGGCATCTGGAGTGTTGCTTTCCAGGCCAGGCAGGTGTGACTAGAAGTGAGGCTAGAGGCCTCAGGTCAAGTCTTCAGGGCCCCAGAAGCCAAAGCCTCAGGAATTTGGGCTTGACCCTGTAGACAAAGGAGAATATTGGAGGATATGAAAGAGTGAGATTATCATGTGGGGTTTTTTTCCAGTTTCTGGTTTTTTAGCTATTTAGTACATGTTTGCAGTACATAATGATTACATTCCTCGGGGGAGTTGGTACATGAACATAATACATCTTAATTCCCTTCTCATCCCTCCATCGCTTGATCCCCTTCCCTTTTATAAAAGATCTATCTCCCTATTCCTTTTCTGTTGCTCTTCATTTATATTTTGGGTTTCCCATATAAGACAAACCATGCAATATTTAAGCTTGTATGTCTGATTTATTTTACTTACCATTATGGTGTGAGGTGCATCCACAGATCACCTGGTTTTTAAAACAAAGCGTTTCTTTTTGTGTCCTCATCCTTGTGAATTCTCAGGACTCTTATGGAGCCATATTCCTGTTGTCATTCAAAAAGAGGGCCCGAGAATTTAGCTCAGTGGTTCCGCCACATGCCTTGCAAGCGCAAGGTCCCGAGTTTGATCCCCGGTACCAAAAAAAAAGAATGTAACTGAAAATTCATCCCCTAAGTATCACGGAGATTTGCCTGGTCATTGTGGTAACCATACTGGGGATGTGGGAGGTAGAGAATGGCAGGCCAGACAGGAAGAAAGGCAGCACAGACTAGGTGTAGTGGCACACGCCTGTAATCCCAGCACTCTGGAGGCTGAGGCTGTGAGTTCGAGGCCAGCCTCGGCTACATAGTGAGTTCAAAGCCAGCCTGTACTACATAGCAAGACCCTGTCTCAAATAAAGAGGCAGCACAGTGCT